GGGGGGGGGGGGGGGGGGGGGGGAGTAGGGTGTTAGTTGTTTGAATATGCCTTAAATAGTTAATTTAAACTTTAGAACACTTGGTTAAATGTTATTTAAGAGCGAATGATTGCATTTATTGTGCCAACTAAAAGAATATCTACGCGTAGTTTGTACTTCCTTTATGTTGTATTTGAGCACTTGCAACTATTTGAATTTTTATTGGAATGCCACGAATTCCATCTGCTGCTTGGGACAATTTGAGCGTCTGTGATGGTTCTCTTTCTGACTTAGGAAATATTGACGTCTTCACCATGGCCTAAGGTGTATGTTGTATCATCGGATATTCTCATTCTATCTAGAACTCGCCACCATGGCCCAGTATAAATAAACCTGAACCCCCAATCCATCTCCTCTTCTCGCACTCTTAACAAGTTACTTCATGTAAAGAGTAAACGCGCAATTCCAAGTGCAAACCATTGAAATTGTAAAAAAGCGGGTAGTTCGGATTAGCCTATTACAGGATCAGGGTCACCTTGGACACCTGAATAAATGTAGTCACTTCCGTTGATTTCAGCCTTACTCTCTTCCTCACCTCTTTTCGGTATATTGATTTAATTTTCAAAATCTGCCTCCAACTAATTTCTTATTCACCACAGAGGTGTCCTCAGTGGCTACACTCCAAACAATTTCAAATGATTCCTAGTGTTTCTTAGGCCATGAGGACAGAGACAAGGCGGCAATGTTTATACAAAAATAAGTGCAATTACCAAATAACTATACAAAGTACCAAGAGTGTAAATGCATACAAAATTTCTGAGATCTTTGAGAAGTTTATGAGCGTCGATTCTCCAAAGATCGTCGTGGAATAGTCGCTTTCCTATCACTATTCTGCCGACTATTTCTTCTCGATTGAGGAGGAGGAGCAGAAGTTGAAGATTTTGAAGATCTTTTAGCATTTTTAGAAGATGGTGGTGGCTTGGTGACAAAGAAACAGCCCTTCGCGGGACCCTCCTTCAAGGGGTTTCTTCCCAGCGCTTCGTCCATTTCCGGATGATAGAATTGGTCGTGACAGATGAACTGAACTATACCGAAACCGGTCCCAACAGCCATCCATGTTGCCGATCCAGGATCACGGCAAGGGGCAATCTAAGCAAAAAAAGTTGAAAGTGGGATAAAAAATATGCGTAACACGTTTAAAGAAGAAGAAGAATCCAACTAATACTCACCTTCGTTATACTTGAGAATGTGGAGTTTAGGAAATCGTATTTGTTCTTCTTCAAATTTACTCCTTCCTAGGGGAATAAAAAGAAACAATAATGTTATAGCAACACTAACACAGAGAACCCAACCGAAAAAGCTAAAATCAATTGCTTGAATATCAATCACGAAATCTGTTGAGATCCTACTTTCACTATCGAATAATAAATTCAATTAGGGTGAAAAGTTGGATTTCGTAGATGCTTGAAGCCCCACTCTTGACGATATACTAAAGCTACAAAATAATATTTGACAGGAAAGTATTAGAGAAATAATAATAGTTAAAATGTGTAACACATTTCAACCAGTGAACGCGAAGTACTGAATCCAGAATAGTCTTCCTTGAAACCAAATACCCCATTGCCTCGGTGTCAAATTTAATTAAAACCAGTCTTATCAAGAATATCCAAAGCGTTGCCAACGTGTGGTCCTAAGATTGAACAGATGACTTCTGCCCAGAGTACTTCCATAATTAAATCTTTGCCTGACCTAACCAAACACCACAATATCTAGCTTACCTCCACGTGGTGCACCCTGGGCAACGTATACTC